TGCAATCTGAATGCTAAATTTTTGCTGCAATGATAAAAATATTCAAAAAAATGATGCGAAAAGATCATACGGCAAACTCTATCAAATCGATCGGCTTCTTCACCATTGTTCATGCCAGTCAGTGAATCTCATCCTCAAGAGGTCTGGCATAGTCCTTTTCTGAGATAGCAGTTTGCATTGCATTGTGGTCTAGATTCGGTTCAACATCTTTTGTTCATGCTGCCAAATATGGCGTTGTTTGTACTGAAGCTAGACCACAATGCACCATGATCTTGTATTTCAGAAAATGTTACTCATGACGAGTTTCTTGAGAAACACTAAAATAACTTTGATTTAATGTAAACAATAGTTAAAACACTTTACATTTCATCGATCAACACTGAATAAAACGACATTAGCAGATTCAGTAAATAAACAGCTTCAAGGTGATGCATACTTTATCTAAATCTGATCCTAAACCACACTCAAATGCAACTGGGTTTCAAGGGTGAAACGTTTTGTCCGTGATAGACCCCTGTTTCTTCTTGACTTCGATCTAACAAGAAGCACCTGAGTTTCAAAGAGCGAAACGTTTCATGAATTCCTCAATCTGATCAACAAATATTAAGGCTGTTCAATAAGATGTGGTAGCACGGGTGTGGTTAATAAACTAGAAGATGCAAAACTAAGCAAATGCAACTATTCCAAAAAAATGTGTAGATAGCACGACTGATGTGACGTATCCATGGTGAATGACGTCAGAGCAGCCATATTCAGGTTACACATCAAACAAAAACGCTTCGTCAGATTTTTCCAAATAAAACTTAATTGTGAAAAATTGTCCAGCATCTCTTCCTAGGGAGTGATCAGCCATAAATTGTAGCAGGCACCATGTTGCCACTCGAGATTTTGTTAATCTTTTTTCTGGTTAAAATAGAAAGCAAGAAATTATTAATAAATATCTAATAATCAGATTTGTTGCTTTAGATATAGTTGTGATGAAAATATAACTTAATCATCGTTTTAAGATCCTACAAAGATTTTACTCATTTTAGATGTACTACAAAGCTGTGCTTATAAACATAGATTACAAATAGGAGGAGCCGAATGGTTGCCAGCGAGAAATTCAGGAAAAAATCTAAGCCGGTTTTGACCTTAAAAACGTTTGCCAGTAACAAGTTTATTTTAAAAGAAGGAGGGACGCCACATTTACTTGTGAGATTGTCAACAATGTAGCTCAAAAATCCTTTCCCAGAAAACAATTCGTACAAGAACAGTTACAAATTTCCTGTATTTGCTAAATGCAATTATAGTTATTGTCGAGTGAATACCCTTTGGACAAATTTACGTATTTCAACTTACGCTCCAAGCAAATTTATACAAGGTTCCCAAAAGTGCTTTTCCTTACTTGAAAAGTATCTGAGACAAATGGTCAGTATCAATGAACCAGAACGCAATTAAGATAAATTTAAAATGGTTCCAATGTGCCTTCATCTCTCACTGCCTTCTGGTTCATTGATACTGACAATCTGTCTCTTGATAGCCGGCTATTTGTTAGTATTTAGTTACTATATTTTATAGTACGACTGGAAAAATGACTGACTGGCCAATATCTTAAATCAGTGATATATTTATCAACATATCATAATCCAAGATAAAACTGCCCAACCGATCGTGTGGCAAGGGTATGCAATGTATCAATAAAGTAGAGTAAGGCTTGTCATTATAGTTAACTGGACTTACACGAAAAAGCATCCCACTCCAATAATGACAATTAGAGTCACAGCTGCCACGCATATTCCAGCAATGAATAGGTAAAACACAACATTATTTCTATCTGTAGTGGAAATAAGGAAAGTTTTAATATAAAGACAAACTAACAACCCAAACAAAAGCCAGCAACAACAACAACAAAACATAAGACAATACCAAAAAATATAAATAAACACAAAACAATCATCATTTCAATGATATGATTAAAAACAAAAGAAACAGTTTTAAATCTTTTTTATGCATTTATACCTTTCTTATCTTGTGCTTGAGCATCCTTATCCTCGAGATAGCGCTCCATGTCTACAAAAATGAAACATAAAATGGAGAACACAGTGGTTGATCCGGAACAAGACAAAAGGGGGGGGGGGGGGGGGTCACTAAAACCCAAGAAAAACAATATCAAATGGGTTGATTTAGGGCTGCGAAAAATGTAACATTGTGGTCAAACTGTGCGACAATGTAAAATCATAACTTTTGTTTAGGAAACTGCATTTCTGATTTTGATATTCAGTTTGTTCCCTGAGTTCTTTCTGCTTTATCTTAGAAGAGAGAGTATAATGATCTTTGCGATTGAAAGTAAGAACTCTTTAGACCCGTTTGATTTTATACCGCAAAACGCCAATGTACCGAACTTAAAAATCGAAATCAAATGTCTTCAGAAACAAGTGATAGTGGAATAATTTCCATTGAATACTCACCACGTGTAAAGTTTGACGTAGGAACGGACATTAATTACCTTGTTTATCTTTAATGCGTATGATAACTGTGCTGTTCTCGGTACCAGTCAAACAGCACGTCTTGCCGTGAATACATCGTAGCTCCAGTGAAAAGATTTCATCACTCTCGGGCTGATCATCGTTAATAATCTTAACACTACTACACAATGCTGTATCTGTTGGTTTAAAACTAAGTGTGACGCTATTTGAACCAGCTCCCAGGGTAAAGTCTTTTCCTTTTTCAGCAGTCCACCTTATTGCATCCTCAAGTACAGTAACGCTGAAAATGATTTTTTAGATAAAATGTGTCATTTTTACAGTAAGACCTATGCAGTGAGCGAGTCACGTGCAAATGGAATCAGTTTGCAGTCTGTCACGTTTAATATACATTTTTCTTTACATCAAATTAGAAACTCACAAATAAAATGCAAAATAGTTCCTTAGGATGTTACAGCAAGTACGTATGCAGGTTTCTTAGAGAACAAGTGAGAAGATTTTTAAGCTGCTTGGACATGCAGGCAAATTTTGAACCAACTGCATTCACTTCTAAGACAACTCAAAAGTATCAAAACATCACATGCAGCAAACTTGTGTTGAGAAGGATAAGATATTTACCACAATATATACTAGATGGTTTTACCTGACATTTACAGGAGATTTATGTTCTCCGGTCTTGTTGACACAATATTTAACTGTCCCAATTTCCTCTTGTACACTTAATCGTGTATTATCGAAGTGAAAGCACGCTTTACCTTAAACAACAAAACAAAACAAACGAAAGAAAATTAATAGTTTGTCTGTTCTCTTCTGACAGACCATGTTTTTAACCTTTCTGCAGAAGATTTGATCTCATTTTGTTTAGTTACATTTGCTCGCTCTCAGTAAACTGCATGTCGAGGGAAAAGTTGAAGGCAATTTATGAATTTTTTCATCTTGTGCGGCCGTTAAAAACTTAACTAAACTAAAACATCACTGAGCTAAATTTCCCGAGAGCTTGATCTCTCTGTGTCCATGTTCCAAGATCCCTGGTACCGCTTTGCATGATCAGCTTATCATGCCAGAGCCATGTCTTGTAGCATTACCACATTTTTCATAACTTGCATAACAATAAAAATTTCTAGGAAAGACGAAAGACAGACATATGCAGTCATTTTGCTTACCATTAGTATAGGAGCATGCTCCAAATATGGACAACATTGACAATTTATCTTTTATTGCCCAATTGTCTTAGTTTTTATTACTAACAGCCGATGCAATTCATTCTAGTTGCTTATGATAGTGTCTTATTTACAACAAACGCTGATTAAAAACACCATTTTTAAAATAATTGGCATAATTTTTTTACCTTGGTCATCATCGAGAAGAACGATTCTCATCACAGCTGGCTCAATCTTGACATTTTCTGGCTCGTCTGTGGCAATCTTCACCTCAAAGARTTCAWTGTTCTCGAGTAGTTGATCATCATAGACGCACAAAGTGATGTTCTTTTCCGTTTCTTTTGATTCAAAGGTGACATTTTGGTTGATGGATAAGTAGTCGGCGCAAGATGAATTACAGGAGGCATTGGTAGGAGTAGCACTCACTTTGTTGGTGTGAACTCTTTGGAGAAACGGAATATGACAATTACTACCAGTCAAAGACCTTCAAAAATACCCGGGACCTAAACTGCATCCAAACAACTTATTAATTAAGCTCACAATATTTCTAAAAGAAAATCTAACTTGACCATGTAGATCAAAATCCCTTTCACAGGAAATAAATCGTACAAGAACAGTTATTTAGAAGAATACAGAGACCGATGGCTCCTTCTGAGTAATACTAAATGCATGCAGATGTCAATTCCCGATTGTATAAACAATATGTAAACATTACCTGACTGTCCGTGATAGCCCTGTTTCGTCTTGACTTCTAACAACAAGCACTGAATGACATCCAGATTTCTCTTGCACTAGTTTGTCTGTGAATTTCCAGCCTATAACGGCTAATGTGTAAAGAAAACAGATTTATAACCAAAATTAAATATATGTTATTTACCGGCTGGGAGGTCAGTAGAGGAATACACTGCCCGAGGTCTTGACAGTACGRAATAAGCGCATTTTGATCCCACACGTAAGAACGGCTAGTCTATGCTATACTGCATGTCTGCACATTGATTCAAACTGAATTAAAAACCTAGCAAAGGTCTATGACGCGACATTAAAACTGAGACCTTTGCTAGTGTTGGGTTGCGCTAAAGCGCTGATAACCTTGAACACCAGTTCTTTATATCTGATCTAGAACTGATTAATAAAACATCAGTTCTATATATCTGATCTAGAACTGATTAATAAAACATCAGTTCTATATATCTGATCTAGAACTGATTAATAAAACATCAGTTCTATATATCTGATCTAGAACTGATTAATAAAACATCAGTTCTATATATCTGATCTAGAACTGATTAATAAAACATCAGTTCTATATATCTGATCTAGAACTGATTGATAAAACATCAGTGCTTTATCGGGACATAAAGTCCCATCAAGTTACCCAGTAGTTCGATGTTCATTGGACTAATAGCTCATGAATTATTAATGAGTTTTAGATTAGAGGATATTACACGGTTGTGCGAAGAAGCGCAGAGAACGAGTAAAATGCTGTTTTCAACACGAGAAAATAAAATTCATATCTTCAAGCCAACGTGTAATGTTCTTTTTATTATATGGACAAACAAAAGCAAACAAAATTATGAATAAATGTTAAATTTTACTTCAATGCAAAGAATGTTCATTACTAAGTTAGCATGTCGCTCACCTGAATATCTTGATAGCAAAATAAATAAAACATGTTTTTTAATTCAAACTTACTGACTTTGGTTCTCGTCGCTAGAAGATTCGACGATTATTATTCTTTTTTCACAACATCTGTTTGCCATGTTTAACTCCGTGAACAATCGACAAGTAGAAATGAGCGAAAAGTTGTTTATATTGGACGTGCGCGTACATCCGGAACATTTTGGTACATAACTTTTTAATATATTCACTAGTCTATTTCTTCACTATCTTCACTTTATATAAAGAATACTAATAAGGGTGACCTTTATCAGATATAAAGGTCAATGTCCCTAGCAAAGGTCTCAGATTTGATACCTGATCATTAACCAATTTAGGATGTTAACTAATTGCAGTAAAACAGCCACCATGACCGATGCAACGCTTCTATTTTACTTTATGCGTATTCAATGTGGGATGCCACAAGAGTGCTTGCTTTGTGAAGTGATAATTCGCGCATGATCAGTTTGCCCCCATTTATCTCAAAGACTTATTTTCACGGCATTTTCTCCAATAATTTTAACGGATTTAAGTTTCAAACTAGAGTTGGAGTTTTTGAGGCCGTTTAAAACACTCGAGATCGTGTTTTATCAATAAAGATTTTATAACTTAAAGCACTAACCATATAATAATATTTATTTCGCACAAGTACAAGTATCTATCAAAGCGTCCAAAATATTTCATTTGTTTTCAATTATTTCCAGGGATTATTTTCAAGTAACCTTATTTAATGTTATGATGTAATAGGCAGAAAATACTGACAAGCTTTATAATAAGAAGGTAGTTTACTATTTAGTATATGGAAACAAGAAAGAAAACATCAAATTCTTGTCAAGTCAGTTGATGCTCTGACAGCCTTGACACAAACGTTTTAGTAAAAATACACATAAAATTCAAACAGCCGTGTTTGTCAAAAAGAGCATCATTTCTACCTGCTTAAACCAACGTTTGCCAAACAAATGATTTAACTATAACATACAAGTACAAATCCGAACTCGCTAATGAAATGTATTGTTATATTTTTGTTGATTTGATCACAATCTGGAAAAGTTTAGATCGACAAACAAAACCTACTACACGGAATCCTACAGAAAACATGCAAACGCTTAAAGTGCTACTTGCATGAAAGTGGTCTTATTTCAAAACTTCAAGCAATACAAATATATGACTCATTTTTATCTATTAAAAACAATTGCAGGAAAATATTTGTTTTGGAGTTATCCCATATAAGAGAAATTTGGATTCAAAAGACGTCATCTACTACAACATTTTTGCCCAAAATACTAAGGATTTGTATCAATATCTTGTTGAAATCTGTTGCTTCATGATTATTAGACCCATATGGATAGGTCTATTTGATATCCAATTCTTTTCTAGTGTTTTGCAATTTTTGTTGCATTGCATTAATTTTAGAGAAGGAATACGTCAGACGCGTGCGTGCTTTAGTAACATATTTTCAAACACCAAATTCAGTTAAACAAACGAGCCAATTAAGTTCGCGATAATACGAAGAAAAAAGAGTAGTCAAATAAGCACGTAGAATCAAGTTAGTTGACTTGATCCTGATAATCTGATAAAGGCCAGTTCGATAAAACAAAGTGCACGTCCAGCGTTACAGTGCTTTCCGAGTTATTCCGTGAAATGCCTCTAACCATCAAAGCATGACTGAATTATCTCAGTACCAGAACAAAGAGCTTGAAAGAACTGCAGATAAAGATGACTTGATTCGTGCATCACAGATTTCAATTGGTCTGATAACAGTATATTTGCTTTCTTGCCAGAAAATGACTGTTAAACACCAACTTTTGTTAAACAAATGATCGACTAAGCCGTCGTAAACCAGTGAGAATATTTTATTTTATTGTTTAAAATTCGTTAATTGGATCACAATCTGGAAAAATCAAGTTTAATAAAACGAAGCGAGCGCACGTAAGGCAATGAACACTGTACTTCTTAACATTCTGTAATCAGGGATGTCACTTATTGAGATTTGGCATAATTAGCACAGAGTGAAAAAATAACAACACAGCAATAAAAATAAGATAACTCCAGAAGCAGAAAAAAATATGCTTAAAAACTTTCATGCATTAGTGATGTCCGATAACATAATTTTGCTTGGTAAACTTGATGGGTATGAGGAATTTACTGCTCCGTAAGTTTGGAAGTCTTGGAGATCAAAGACACGGCAAAACCGGGATCACGGATCAAAATGGAAGTTTCTTTCCCTGAGGACTTTTGCGATCCAGAAATCGGGACTTGTTCCCATTACCTCCCCTCGCTGCATTCCCAGCATTCAAGCACATACGAGATACTCCTAGTGCAGTAGACTGCGTGCACACGTTCCTATAGTCAGGGGCGGAGCGAACAAAACGTTTCTTCGCTCCGCCCCCGACTAGGGACGCCTGCACGGAGGCTACTAGAACTCATTAGTAATTCATGACCGATTAGTCCAATGAGTATCGAACTATTGGGTCACTAGATGGGCCTTTATACTATACATAAAATACTTTATCATTTTAAGTTTGTTCATACCCTTGTCGTCATCATCGATGGTGATTGTTGCAAACGACGGCTGGAGTTTGATGTTCTTGTCTGCTGTAGTTATTTTAACAGTGAATGTTGTATTCCGCTCAGCAACTTTGTCATCATAAACACACAATGACACCATCTTTTCGGTTTGATTTGACTTGAATGTCAGGGTTTCATTCAGTGGTTTGATGCAAGACTGACAGGCTGACTTTCCCTGATCTGACTGTACTCTGCATATGAAAAACGAGGACGACTTCATGTATGGATTTACGTATACACATAGGGTGATGTACATAAAAAAGGTCTCTTACACAGTTTTTATGTAGACAAGAATACGTAGAAATTTTAAACTGAAACTAAAAAGATTTTGTTTAACGTCGAGCCTGAAGATTCGAACCCGGCGCTACTTAATTTCCCTAAAACATTAAGCCATAAGTTAATTCGGTTGAGTGAACCTGAATTTTTGTGATATTTATGTAACGGCATTCGTGAATAACCACGTATTTTAATAATGAAGCTTCAATGTGTACGCGAGAGACATTCTGTCCATACATAAGTGACGCCATATATAGTCAATTGACAAAAGGTTGTCGTCGAGCGGACTTTGTAGCACGCGACCAACCCCAACAGGTTTCTGGGTAAAAAATCAATGTTTATGAACAAAGTCATTCTTATGTTAATTTGCCAACCATGGATGGCTTTTCACAAGTCTCTTTGTTCTAACAGCCAATCGTCTTCTGATTTGGCACATGAATAACAAAGGGCTACGCCACATTGAGCATCGCTATATAGTGAAGATGAACGAGAGATCGTACTATAAAAAAACCCTCAACGTTTTTGGCATCTACAAATAAAATCAAAGCAACATACTTATCATCTTATATCAGATACAGGTGAAGATAAAGATATTATCAGCTTAAAAGACAGGACAAATAAAAATAAAACAGGGAAAGAACTTGAGAGACATTGATATCTCTTACGTAATAGCATGCTTTGTTCCCTCGTCTATGTAGTTTCCACTCTTGACGATGCGAAGATCAGTACATCCAGAATTTTCTTTAATCACCATCTTTGTAAAATTCCATCCAATCACCACTATAAGAAAGACAACCAAACAACAACCATCAAAAATACTGAATAACAAATAAATATTGGTTCTTAACGATGTCTTTTCTTTCAACCGATATGTGCAATGCAGATCGAGCAGGTACCATTTGAGTTGTTTGGTTTCATTTCAGTATATTTAACAAATTGTGCACGATTTTGAGTTGTATGTCCTCGACACACTCTTGAGGTCATAAAATGTTCATCACTCAAGTGGACTCATGGGGACAACGTATTGCGCGAGTAAACTATCAACTCTCAGTTTAAATTGAGAAGGGTGGTAATCTTTGAATATAGTTATCACCAAAGAACTTTAGGTAGTTGAGTATAGTCATATGTTAGTACAGAATTTGGTGGTGGTGTCAAAGTTGGTTGGGAGTAGCTGGTCACGTGACTAGACCTAGCCCCATACTCTCAATTTAGCCTCAATTCCTAACCCTAAGCCACTTCTAACCCTAGCTAAATGTAAGCTCTAACCCTATCACAGCAATCCTAAACCTAACCCTAGCTTAGTCGTAACCCTAAGGGTTCCAAAAAGGTGTCAGAAACGTTGATCGCGTGACCTCCATTTTTGTTGTTTAAGACGAAACATGTTTTTCAACTCTGTTGTTTTGTTCGCAACGTATACAGATAAGCAGTGAATGAAAATTTCCTATACCAAAAATGAAGCTTTTCTTTCAATTGAGCGCGTTGGAAAAACGTAATGTTGTCAGCACTGCGTGAATACACCTTAATCCAAAATGGCTGACTAGCCCTTGATGTCTCGTTTTCATGAAATTGTGTTTTTCTTTTAAAGTCACTCAAGCTCAAAGACAAAAGAATACTTTTTATGAAAACGAGACATCAAGGGCTAGTCAGCCATTTTGGAATAAGGTGTATGTCCTCTTATTGACACACTCTAATCAGCCAATCAGCGTGCGAGAATGTACGCAAAGGTGGTAAAAAAGCCAATGCAGCAAGGCTGTTTTCTCGAGCAAAGCATCACGGGAAATGTAGTGCTCGCGGCATTTTATATCCCTTAAAATAAAGTAATTTTGAAGTGGTTTCGCTTTGTTGTGTTTCCTCAAAAATTGCACAAAGTGCTATGAAAGATTCTGAATAAGAGCAGGGAATATAGGCATGTTCGCCATTTACCTGTCCTGCTTGGCAAACGTGTTTAGTGCCGCTCCCTGACCCTTACTATATCACTTATTCATCTCATCATTTAATGAATAATGTTAGGTCTAAATCATTTTTATGTGCTGCAAGGATAATACGAAATTGACATAAAATTGGGATAACAAAGAATTGCTTTACAAATCAAATGCCATCTTTAGCAGCCATATATGGTAATCTTACATTGTCTGGAAGCACGTGTGAAGTCAACTCGGTTTTTTTTAATACTAATAAACTCGTTTTTGGCGACCTTATCGGCTTCAAAACTTTAAATCGTATGAAACTTGCAGATATTATGACAAAAATGGCAAAAAGACTCGTCCATCTAATTTGAAACAGTAAAGGGAGCCCAAAGCTAAAAAGCGCATGGCTACCACACGATTGGCAATAATTCATTGATATGAGTGAACAAGGTAAATAAAGCGGCGCATTCATAACACTTACCATCTTCATTAAGAACAGTGACAGTAACGACCTTGTTTGTGACTTCACCTGTCTCAGCTGTGAGATTGGGACAAGATAACTTGGCTGTAAAAGTTCTTTTGCCATCTGTATGTAGGAATTGATCAACTAATGGAACTTTGACTTGGGTATTTGCACCGCCTTTCAATATAGTGACTGGGATAGTCGCATTGTTGTAGTCTCTCCCAGCTACTGCAGTGACCGAACTCAACTCAACGCTACAAGAATTGAATATTAAAAAATGACTAAACAACAACAACAAATYGGGTACATTAATTGTGATGAATTAAATGTTCATTAACGCCAAAATACACGTATAGCATCCTTTTAACTGTTTAAAAATAGTTACTACCAAAGCTGCATATCGAAGCTACTTACTGACTAACCGATTTTCTATGCATATTCAGCTCTGCCTTTATTGCGTTTTATTAGTAAATCTTACTACTATTACGTGGGCTTCCTGTGGAAGTCCACGTCTTAAAATGCAACTGGCGATTTCGTCGTGGTCGTGAATATTACGCTTCAAATTGGTAGCGCATCGATAGCGCATGCGTTGCAGTCTCAGTTTCCATGGAGATGTCAAAATAAACCAATCAGCGATTTTTGGTAGCGCCTGCGTTGCAGATGGACTGCAGTCTCAGAATAGAAACAAAATGGCTGACAGACGGCGGTAAAAAGTTGTCTCATTTCAAATGGTTCTAATGTAGCTAAAATGCTCTAAAGAGCTGAAAMTMTTAMRAAATCAACTGATTACCATCCAAACGACATGGATTGAGGTATATAATTCAAGATTAGCGGATGATTCGTGCAGAAATGACTGGGCATTTTCTACCGCCGACTCGAAGAGCACTACTTCTTCGACACACA